ATTTTAAATCAACTTCTCTTTATTATACTCTAACCCACAAATGTTTAAATCTTTTCACCCTAATCATTTTTGTTGCTTTAATTACACTTAAGTGTGCCACGTCATATTTTTTAACCCAAAAAAAAAAATCAAAAAGATTTTCATGGCTATTTTGTTAAATGGAAACTTGGGATGGCCGGGCAGCTAAATTTTCTTCTTAGTGAATAGATTTGTTTCCCAACACGTTTATGCGTCGTTGTGATATTTAAAAAGGCCGAACTTTCACCTACCCAAAGTTCGCCATAAAGACAAAATGATATCCGAAAGGTTTGAAAATGACAAATAAATATTTTATATTATATTCTGTTAGAAATTTTTGTCAACTAAAAGGCAGTATAGTAATTTCATCTACAACCACAAAATTTGTAATTTTTAAATCTTTTTCTCCGTATCCATCCTCGTCCAAAGCCCGTTTGCATAGCCCTCTTGCCTCATCGATGATTTTTTTATTAGATTTAGCATTTTTCTGTGAAGTCCAATGGTAAACAGTGACAGTGACCTTTGCTAGCACACGTTGGGAATGAAGATAGGTGACTGCGACCTTTTATCGAGCATGTTGTGTTTGTGTTAGAAAATGTCAAAGATGGGAGACTTGAGGAGTGATGGCGACCGAAAAACACAACCCACACAAGCAAACAACACTTCAATAACAATATTTTCACAACAACAAACTCCAAAAGAGCCTATGATCATCAACAAAGGAGTGGCAGTCTATTGGGTTGGTTGGAAAATTTTCACAAACAATTGGAGAGCGGGCAAACACTGAGTACTAGACAACAAACGACAAGTGGGGAGGGGCGATAGGAGCTTGGGTTTCGAAGAGAGAATGGTGGGGATTCGAATGGGGATTCGAATGGTGGTGGAATGGTGGATCTCTGGTGTGAATATCGACCAGAATCTGGCCTCAAATATGGGTAGTTGCAAGGAATAACGGTGGCCGTATTTTTGCGATTAATGGGTGCACCGGTGTCAAGATTAGGTGGGTTCAATAAGGGAGGGCCATGAGGGTGGATGGAGGAGGTTTTGGGTGGAAAATGGCTGAAAAAGTGGCCAAAAGGCTGGTGGCAGAGGTTGCTAATCCGTGATACCGAGAAGAAGAAGAAGATGTTAAGGGTATTCTAGTCTTTTCACCATTTTTGTCTTTTTGCAGATGAAAATTCCTAACAGAATATGACAGAAAGTGGTTGTTTGTCATTTCCAAATCTTTTGGGTACCACTTTGTCCTTACAACAAACTTTGGGTAGGTGTAAGTTGTTCCTCCTATTTAAAAATGACTAGACTTATTTCCGGCTGTTGGCGTCGGAATATGCTAATCCATGCGTTGGCGCACTCATAGGACACAGACAACGGTCAAATCAGGCTATTTTTATCAAATTACGCTATTAGTCAACCAGTTTCTAGTGATGCCTCGATGCAAGCAGATTGCCTTGGAGTGTGTTGTTTTGTCAAGTCGGGTTATATTAATAGCGCAATACTACTTATTGGAAGATTTATCTCAAATATAATCTCCCAAATGATGTATACGTAGGGGATTAAAAAATAATCTAAATATTTTTAGTAAATATTTTTTTATAATATGTCAAATATATTTTCAGAATCTTATCCTATCCTATTCGGAATAGGATTTTAGAAATGCTACTGCACCAATAGTAGCCTAGGTAACTTTCCCCTTTGAATATGTTGAAAGGGGAAACTACAATATTTTCCCTAATGTTTGATCAAAATACACTTGAGTCTAGTAGAGTTTTTTCTGTCACTATAATCCCTAATAGTCGCAGACTAGTACTACTAGTACTACTAGTTGATGGAATTTCTTTCTATTACACGGTGTAAGGCCGTAAGGGTTTTTCTGTTTTCACCTAGTCCGAATTACATACCCACCCCAGGTTTAGCCTAAATACAAAGTGATGCCTTCACTACGAAAAATCATCGACGTTCCACCCAATTTTCAATTCCAACAGTTAAACTTAACAGTCAAAGGGCAATTATGTCTTTTTACCCGATACATATATTCATATAACCCAAAAGGAATAAACCCAAAAAAATATTTTCCCCAATGTATATAGCTTATTGATCATAACTATCTTTCGTCGAAATAAAAGCACAATCTTACTGGGAAAAGCGTTATTCATTTGATCTATATAGTATATACTGAAGAGTCAGCCACATAAATTATCACACAAGATATGTACAGTCAAGAAGTAGAAAAGAAATAGTTGATGGATTGAAGTACCCGTATGTCTACCATTACATTATTTATATGTCACTATCATATATCATGATACATCATTTAAGATATGAAACTTAAGATATGTTTGAGAAAATCATCATTTTATTTACATGTCAATAAAATTCGAGATATGTTTTGAGAGAATAATATTATTGATATTCATAATTGTTTGTCGACGTTGTTTTCTATCATTTATTGCAAAAATTTCTAGGGGTGGGATAAACTGGTTAACCGAACTGGTTTCTGTTAAAAACTGAATGTAAACTGAACCGAATTTTCGGTTCGGTTACCAATTAACTGGTTTTCAAACCGGTTTTCAAATTACCCTTTAATCCTTAAAATTCTTCAATGTTTCATTCAAGTCCCTAAATTCAAGTATTTATTATTTTATATATAATTTCATACTATGTTTCTCTTTTATTTTGTATTATTGTTGTATTCTTTTTATGAAAATACATTTCTATTTTAACATAAAGAAAAAAAAAAATGAGATACTAAACAAGAGAAATTCATTCTAATACCATTCAACTTTCCTTTATACAAACACTCAAAATTACTCTTTAGATTACATGAATGAGTCAAATTAAAAGATTCGTGCATCTCCCTCCATCCACTACCCTCTAATAATCTCCATCTCTCTCACTCCTATCAAAATTTATGCTTCTGGGTTTAATTACTGAGAAAGTTGGGCACTTTTGCATCTGTTATTGACAGAGAAGATAGAAGCAAAAGAGTGAGCCAACCCCAACACAATCCCCAGCTTAACTTGACCTCTCTTTGGAATCAAACCCTGAAGAAAATCTGGGAGAAGAATAAAAAACACTGCCATTGTTCATCCTAGTATTCCTCGCACTTGCCATCTTTAGAATCTGTTGGAGAAATTACAACAATGTTGGAAACAAAGAAAAGAGTGAGTAAGTAAGAGTATTTGATTAGTCAGTGTTTGGTTTAGTGGCACTTGGCTGGTTTATGTCTGCTCAAGCCTCACGGTGGGCCTGCTCACACCTCACGGTGGAGTCTACTGGAGTGCTGGGTGCTGGCGAACGACGAACGTAGCTCACGGTGTGGATGGAGTAGATCACGATGACTGGACAGTGGATGGAGTCAGCTCTGCTCAGTAGCTCACGGTGGGAAACTGATGAACTGTGGATGGAGTGGACTGTGGATGGAGTCATGGTGTGGAAGACTGGAACTGCTAGCGAACTGGAGTCTGGAACTTTGGAAGTGACGAATAGACGATTGAGGATTGACGAAGTGGAAGTGTAGAGATTTAAAATTTTCAGATTTGGAGAATGGAGGCAGAGAAAGACGAATGTGGATGGAGTAGCGTGAGGACTGGTGACTGAGGAGTTAAAAATTTTTTTTTGCTTTTATGTTCAGGGTTAAACCGGTTTAAAAATCGGTTTTCGGTTAACCGGTTTGAATTTGTTTTCAAATCGAAAACCGAACTGGTTTTCCGATTTTTTGAATTCCCCAAACCGAAAACAGAACCGGTTTGTAAAAAAACCTAATTTTCGGTTCGGTTTCGGTTCAGTTTTCGGATTTTTTATCCCACCCCTAAAAATTTTTATGCTAGGTGGGTGCATTGGAGCTGGCCAGTTTTTTAGTGGTAACTTCCTTCTTCTATGTTAAATTAGTAAGGGAAAAATCTAAGTTTAAGGACAATATGTTGTAATACATCTTCACCTGACAGTGATAGTCTATATTTTTACTTCCACTTAGATCTTGCTAGTCATGACAAGGGGCCAGGTCCGGACCAAGTACCCCTTGGCCCAGGCCTAAGCCCGACCTCATGACAAAGGCCCAAGCCCAGCCCGGGCCCGTCACGGGTATGACAGGTAAAGGCCCAACCCCAGCCCAACGAGCTTTTTGTAACTTCAGACCCGGCTCAAGCCCGCCCATTTTTATAATGTGAATTTTTAAATATTAATAAATTTTATTTATTTTTTTTAATTCTAGAAACAATTTTTAAATATTAATTTATTTTTGAATACTCACCAAATATATAAATAACTTTCCACAATGTGCATCGATCCATGTAAGGTTTGGGAAAGATGAGTATATATATGTATGATAATCTTGTAATTAAATATATAGTATAAAGGTAATTTAGTATAATTAATATTGAAATTATCGGGTCAGGCCGAGCCTGAAGACATACACAGGCCCGACCCGTACCCAAGTTTAGGCCTTAAAATCAGCTTCAGGTCCAAGCTCAAGCCCATAAATATCGGGTAAAGTCTGACATTTTCAGACCAAATCGGATTAGATACCTAAAAATATCAAACCCATTACCATCTCTAGATCTTGCACCTCTAATTAAGATCGTTAGAAATATCATAGGGCCATTGTCATCTTTAGATCTGGCACCTCTATTCCTCTAATTAAGATTGTAAGAAATATCATAAAAAATGACATCGACGTAGCAGGTTATTCGTGTGTCAGTCCATCAAATTACGTGTTAGGTTTTAGAATCACTCATCTTGATATTTTTTCTTCACCACCTGAATGTACAGATTTCGCCTTATGCCATATAAGAAGCAAACAATTTCGTGCTTAAAGACACAATAGTTATATAATCCCATTATTTATATATGTAGAAAAATATCACATTGTGAATTAATTATTCATTATTTTACTCGCATTATGATTCACAGTTTATAAAATAAATGAAAATACTGGGTTATATATATATATATATATATATATATGCAGGGAGATATTTCTGTATCATAAGCACCTTAGCACAGAGAAAAATGTCAACATCGCTTAAACTTCCATGGAAGCTTCATATCCTCTTTTATCTCAACTACTTCATCAAAAAACTGTGTGTTCGATCAAATGGAACCCTGAACCGCCGCCTTCATAACCTCTTTGACCTCAAAAACCCACCCACCAAAACCCCAAAAAATGGTGTCTCAACTTCTGACACCGTCATCAACTCCTCCCGGAACCTCTGGTTCCGCCTCTACACCCCTCAGGGTGGAGATAATGAAGAGACTAGTAACTTTCCCATCATCATTTATTTCCATGGAGGTGGGTTCACCTTCTTCAAAGCTGATTCGTTTGCTTATGATAACTGGTGCAAACGGCTCGCCGTTGAGCTACAGGCTGTGATTATCTCAGTGAACTACCGTCTCGCCCCGGAACATAAGTTTCCGAGCCAATACGAGGATGGTTTCGAAGCGTTGAAGTTTCTGGGTGAAAATTTTGATAAACTTTCGATAAATGCTGATCCGGGATTGTGTTTTATTGCGGGAGATAGCGCTGGAGGGAACTTAGCGCATCATGTTGCCGTAAAAGCTGCGAAGTATGAGTTTCAGAAGGTGAAACTTATCGGATACCTGGCGATACAGCCATTTTTTGGAGGAGAAGAGAGGACTGAAGCTGAGAAATGTAATAGTAGAGCTCCGGTTTTGACATTGGAGTCTACGGATTGGTTTTGGAAGGCGTTTTTGCCAGATGGGTCGGACCGAGATCACCCAGCGGCTAATGTATTCGGACCCAAATCAGCAGTTGATATGTCTCAGGTTGAGTTTCCGGAAACGTTGGTTTTCATTGGAGGGTCTGACATATTGAAAGATTGGCAAAGAAGGTACTATGAGGGGTTGAAGAAGGCAGGGAAAGAAGTGCATTTGGTAGAGATTCCAGGAGCATTTCATGGATCTTATGCTTTCAAGGAGCTTAAGGAAAGTTCTTTGTTTGTGAAAGAGATTAAAATATTCATGAAAAGGATATTGACAGATTGAGAGTCCTGTTAAAGCGGGGTGTTGTTGGTATATTGTTATAATTTTTAGAGTGTAATTGTTTTGTAGTGATGTGGCATTCTGATGACACGTAGAAGTCAAACTTGGAGTTGGCTGGTCAAAGTAATTTGTTAAGACAAGAGGGGCAGTTCTGTCTTTTCCCTTTGTTCCAGAAACCTAAATCGAATTAGGTTTTGTGCGCAGCTCATTTCTCCCTTTTNTAGAGCTCCGGTTTTGACATTGGAGTCTACGGATTGGTTTTGGAAGGCGTTTTTGCCAGATGGGTCGGACCGAGATCACCCGGCGGCTAATGTATTCGGACCCAAATCATCAGTTTATATGTCTCAGGTTGAGTTTCCGGAAACGTTGGTTTTCATTGGAGGGTTTGACTTGTTGAAAGATTGGCAAAGAAGGTACTATGAGGGGTTGAAGAAGGCAGGTAAAGAAGTGCATTTGGTAGAGATTCCAGGAGCATTTCATGGATCTTATGCTTTTAAGGAGCTTAAGGAAAGTTCTTTGTTTGTGAAAGAGATTAAAATATTCATGAAAAGGATATTGACAGACTGAGAGTCGTGTTAAAGTGAGGTGTTGTTAGTATATTATTATAATTTTTAGAGTGTAACTGTTTTTTTTCTTTTTTCTTTTTTTTTTAAATTTGCCTTACGGGTATGTGTGCGTAGAATGTAGTGTAAACGGATAACTATTTTAAGATTCAGACATTCAAAGTTTATTTATAAAATATGGTATTGTTAATCATTCTGCACACGGCGGATTCGCCGTTTATGGGGGTTCAAATCCGCCAGTGGAAGAAGAAGCAGCTTGATTCTGACTTGATTTTTACGGTTTAAACTTACATATATAATTGTATTTTTGGATTTGAGGCATTTTAGATTTAAGTGATGTGATATGGAATGCCGAATTTACTCTCAATTAAAGATACCATGCACATGCCTAAATGTAAATAAGCCTAATTGTTGATTGTTAATGTTTTTGTCACCTTATAATACACACTATTTTTTCCTTTCTACCATTGGGAGCACACTTACTAAAGGTGAACACTCTCATGAGTGTTCACACTTTAGCATATCTTTACTCACAATACTTCTTTCAGATATTTTTCCTCAATCACACTTTACGCACTCTTTTTACTTTTTGGACAATATTATTCCTTGTTGATATTTTGATTTGTTCTTTTACACTTGTCCACTTTTTATTTGCTTTGTAAGAAAAAGAATATTGCTTTTGTTTGTGGTCCTTAGTTTCTTGTGCAAAAAGAAAAACACAAAAGTTAATATTTAACTTTTTTGTCCCCTAACCCTTGACGCATTGATATCTTTATATTCACTCATTTCTGGCATTTTCTTCAAGGAATCTGAACACATTTGTTTTCCTCTTTGAATATTCTCTGAGGTTCTCATTTTGGATAAGATTTCTTACTATGCTTTGGAAGGCTTAGAATTACCATCTTTACTTGTCTCCTTGTGTGAGATCTTTGGATGCTGTTTCCATTGTGACGAGAGTTTGTGTGTAAGCTGCTGTACTATCTTTATTGTTGAATCTTGAGAGGAGCCATTCTTCAACATGATGTTGTTGTATACGTGAAGCTTGCTATGAGAACTTGAAGTTCAACCAAAAAAGATAGTGTTGTCATGTAGAAATTAGTGAGTGTTTTTACAACTTTTGTTATCTTGCTTTGTATTTGAACTCATAAGTATTTCATAGTGAATTTGTTTCCTTTGGACATGGTCTCGTGGATGTAGGCTTGATGTCGAACCATGTAAAAATGAGAATGTTCTTTACTTGCTTTGATGTATGTTTTTATTAAGTTTTACACAACTCATTTGCACTGAAAATTGAATAAGCAACCCATTCCGCATAAGTTTTAAACACTTGGTAATCCTTTAAAACTTTCATTTGGTATCAGAGCACAGTTTGAAGAGTTATTTTAGTTGATCCTTGCTTGTTTTTCAGATTTTTAATTTGAGTTTGTGCTTGTCTGTGTTGTCTTTCGTTTTGTGTCTGGTTGAGCAGATCTGCTCATTTTGATCTGTGTGATCATCGTGTTCTGTGTTACCACATTTGTTGTCCTGTCACTATGAGTTTCTTTGGTGAAGGTGGATCTACTCATAGACCACCATTGTTGGAGGGAACTAGTTTCTTCTTCTGGAGACCTAGGATGAAAGCCTTTTTAAAATCTATTGATGAAAGGGCTTGGAATGCTTGTGTTGTGGGTTGGAAAGAACCGCAAGTTGTGAGTGAAGAAGTTGGTATTAAGGAAAAACCCCTAGATCAATGAACCACAACTGAGTTGGAAGAGTCTAATTTCAACTCTAAAGCTCTCCATCTACTCTTTAATGCTGTCAGTATTGGCCAAATGAAAAATACAGTTGTAGACGTAAAAATCTACCTGTATGGAAGAAGGGATTAATCCCGTGAGATTGACTCCACTAGCGATCTGTTGTACCTGTACACGTAAAGAAACACACGTGAAGCGACGAAAAACATCGGGGTGGTGTTTGCCGTAGGCACTCCGACGCTCAAGTCAGCAAGGCTGAAAAGTTGATTTAGTGAGGGCTAGGGAGTAAAGAGGTTACCAAAAGTCTAGTCAGGGACTATGACTACGGCTGTGATGTGAAGTTCTCAAACTAGAACTCCAAGGTCTGTAGGTGTAGTGTAATCTTGCTTGTGAGAGGGCTGGCCTCTGTTTAAATAATGATTGTCTGGTCTCCCAATCCTGGTGGGATTAGGAGTTCTCATAGCGATCTGTTTCCTCTAGGGATATATCCTTTGATCCCCTTATCCTGGCATGAAAGGGAGTCCAAGTATGACTCTGACACGAACCTTGGGGGAGTTGGGGTGGTAGTGGACTACTTTACCAGTGTTCGCATAGGAATGTGATCTGTAGATGACCATGGGCTCTAAATTCGTTCATAGATCCAAGAAGTGAATTGGGACTAGGAGGCTTGTGTTCAAACGGTTTGGGCTGACTGTACTTTGTATCACTTGTGCCTAATCTTGTGAGTTTTGGATTGGGCCGCATCGGGACTCGGCCTGGCCTTTTCCTCATTATCAGACCCATTTTCCTATTTAGGCTTAGGAAGATTTTTGGCCCTAATAGTTTGGCCCCTACTCTCTGAGTTAAGGTTTTCTTAAGTCAGAAAGTAGGAAACGAGTGAGACGTGTTCGGTCGCCCTTCCCGGATGGCCGATTATCGGTTTGTTTGACCAGTTCGATGCCGGCGATTTATGGTCAAGGGTTATTTGGTATCCATTGTCGAGCTGGGGTATGCAACCGATTTAAGAGGGTGCACCCGATCAGTGTGAAGGACCGAGTGGAATGAGATAATAACAGAACTTTCGGGGTGCACATATCCGTTCGATGCATCTACCCGAGGGTAAGGATGAGCATGCCTCCGCGGGCATTTCGATCGTTATGTCGGGTTGAGTAAATAAAGAGGAATGAAGGTGCGTTCGGTCAGTGAACTGGGGTGAATGAGTGGAGGAGATTGAATCGGCCAGCTTGTTCGACCGTATGACGGATGCTTGGGTGATACCACAGGGTTGTCTTAATAAAACGCCATAGGGTCGAGTACTATGTGCGAAGATTGACCTTTGGTTGCCACTCGTCCGCCATGGAAAACTGAATGGGTGAGGCTTCTTGCCTTGGATCATTTCGGGGGGGAACGCGAGCCAGACTGTTCCAAGCTAGCCGACCATTCGAGAGTCTCCTCGGCATGTGACACAGGAGTGTTGGGTCTGTTTCAGTAGTCGCATGCTAAATCGATTGGGAAGAGAGTGCGGTTGAGCATAGCTTCCGTACTGTGCTGCGGTTTTCCTACGTGTTGTGGATCCTGCCATGTGTACGGTGGCGATCAACTCTTCATTTTGGAGGCGGGAAAATGAAGAGTCGCTCTGACCTTTGGCCAATCACGGGCTGCCACATGTCTACTTCCTTTAGATTTTTCTTATAAAAACGAGGGGCAGATTGTTCATCTCCCATTCGCATTTTTCCTCCATTTTCTGCAAACTTTTTTCCTTTCCTTTTCTTCTTTTTTGTTCCAGTTTCTTGAGTAACGGTGGTTTTCCTTCTGCAATTTTTGGGATCATTTACAGTAAACACTATTTCCTTAGGCTGAATTTTCGTTTGTTTTGCTTGTTTGCTTGTTTTTGCTGAGGTTTTGGGAGAGAGGCAGAGATTTTTTGAAGTTTCGGGGGATTTCGAGTGGGTTTTAAGGTGTTTAGATTACAGATTTTGAGAATAGGCATGAATTTTGGGATATTCTGATGGGTCTCCAACGATTTGGTCTGTTTCTGCGTATTTTTGAGTGTTTTGGACGGAACCGAGAAAACAAAATGATTCAAGTTTTGGACTTGGGTTGAGTAGGTAGGTAGGTCATCCGGTCTATCCAACCGAGCGGAAGGGGGTCGTGCGAAGTGGACTTGAACCACGGGTCGTTCGCCCAGACCGAGTAGGCAGTTTTAGTGTTTGAATTGGTAGGTTGGTGACTCAGGGCGAGTGGACTCACGGGAACGGTGAGTTGGAGCGTTGGTCGGTCGCTTGGGACGAGCGAGAGTAGTGCTGAGTTTTTGACTCAGTCGATCAGTAGCAAGGGCCGATTAGTGTCCTAGGGTCCCGAATTTTGTCAACGGGAATAGGTTGGTTAGTGGCGAGGGATGATCAGTGTTCTAGGGTCTCTTAAATTGACAGGTGGTTAGTAGGGATAGGTCGGTTGGTGCTGAAGGGTGAGCAATAACTGGGGTTCTTGTCTTGTTGTTCGGTCAGCTGTACAAGGCGAGTGGTGGTCCGACACTTAGGATTTTGGGAGGTTAAGTTATCGAGAACAATCAGTTGGTCGGGTAGGTCAAACGGGCTGAGATATCAGATTCAGAATCGAGTAATCTGAGCGAGTTTGGGGCGGATGTCAAATGTGCCCTGACCATAGTAATCATGCCCGAGGGCTCCGTTCCGATGGGTTTATCGAACGATATTACTGTAGTTGCCCCAGGGGCGAGTGCTGCTGGTCCGAGTCATTCGGGCAGGCATGGGGGAAGTGGGGAAGACTCCGAAGGTGATAGTAGTTCACCCTCGTCCAATAGTAGCTCTGAGGAAGAGCCAAGCCAACAGGTAGTGGGATCTTGGCCATGGATTATCCGCCCGTGCTCAAGGATAGTGACGTGTGGCAAATTCAGACTATGTAT